ACCACCCCTTCAACCTCTGCAGCAATGCTGGCAGTACTCACATCTATTTCCCAAAGCCAACCTCTGGATATGACACTGAGCACGGGCACTTAACTTCTTTGGTCGACCATGGCAAGGCCTGTTCTGAGTGGAACATGTCCTGTTAAACCTTTGTATGGTCTTGGCCACCGTGCTGCAACTCAGTTTCAGGGTTTTAGCAGTCTTCATTGAGCCTAGGCCATCTTTATGTAGAGCAACAATTTGTTTTTTCAGATCCTCAGATAGTTCATTGCCATGAGGTGCATGTAGAACTTCCAGTGACCAGTTTGAGAGAGTGAGAGAGATAACACCTGCTCCTCCTTCATACCTGAGACTTGTGACACTAATGACACTCATGACACCAGGGAGGGAAAACGGGTACTTGGGCCCAATTTGTTCCTTGTCACTTAGGGGGTATTCACTTTTGTTGCCAGCGGTTTATACATTAATGGCTGTGTGTTGCATTATTTTGAAGGTACAGCACATTTATACTGTTAAACAAGCTGTATACTCACTGCTTTACACTGTAGCCAAGTGTCATTTCTTCAGTGTTGTCACATGATAAGATATACTAAAGTATTTATGAAATGTGAGGGGATGTACTCACTTCTGTGATATACTGTATGTTTATTGGCCAAGATCTGGCATTGTATAGTTCAATGCTGGGCATAATGTCCTTTCTTAGTTACATAATGTGCAGCCATAGCAACAAACAAATCTGAGGGCATAATGTGCAGTCATAGCAACAAAAGATCTAAGTGCAGCCATTACAAGGACTAGTCTCTATTCAGGCTAGGCAGAGCTTTATCCAAGTAAAGGAAAAACGCACAGATACAAGCTTTGCACAGGTATGTACCAAGACTGCTTATAAAAAGACTCAATTCTTTTATAGAACATAGGAAGTTGAAGGACTTGAGTTTCACACTAGGGATTTTTATGCTCACATAGGAAAAGGATCCTGTAGAGATTATCCTCAAAGTACTGAATAAAGAAGTGCATATAGGAAAAGAACATATTGGTTGAAGAACCTACAAACCTGGTTTGTATGCAGCACAGAATTGTTATTTACAGCAGCCATATCCAAAATCAGAATAGCTAGGACAACATCCAGCTTCTCTTGGGAGGAAAACCAAAGGTTTTTCAGGTGTTTGTAAAATATTTAGACTTTTGTTAAAGTTGTGTGGCTTAATTTAATATTGATACCAAGAGATTCCAGTAACATGGCTGTTTAGACAGGCATTATTGGATATTTCATCGACAAAGCATAGTGGTTCTTTCAGTGCTTAAGTTATCTGTTCCGCCACCTTGTTTTTATTAATCTTTTTTATGCTGTCCTTTTGTTTGCTTAAGTTGATTTGTACGTTTAATTTAATTTTTTGTATTTTTATTATGTTTTTGTGGATTTATTTAATGTGTTATATATGGTTTTATTATGTGGTGAACCACTTGGAGTAGCCTTGGTAACCAGATGGACAGTAGAAGAAAATGAATGAATGAATCAGTCAGTCAGTCAATCAATCCCATATTGAATCCTTCCATTTGTAGAAAATTCCAGGTCATAAGTTTTGTATACTTTAGTTCAATCATCAATCCTAATTGAGTCGGGAGCCATGAAATCAGAAGACTGAGACTCAGAAAGGCAGCAATGAAGGAATTAGAAAAGATCATCAAATGTAAAGATGTGTCACTGGAAACCAAGATCAAGATAATCAACTCTTTTGTATAGCTGAGACAGTAATGAAAGTTGACGGAAAAAAAATTGATTCATTTGAAATGTGTTGGAGGAGAGCTTTCTGAATACCATGAACTGCGAGAAAGGCAAATATGTGGATCAGAGATATACAGGATATTCATATCCCTCAGGATATGAATATGAATATTGAAACCTGCAGAAACTGGACCCTATGCCCCTCCCAGAATCAGCTGTCCTAATTATAGCTCTGCACACAGTTCACACTGCTGTCATCAGTTGCATCGCACCAATCACAGAAGTAGCCGGGCCAGCCAACCACTCAATAGCTGAGCAGGAGACTCGTCATCCCGTCTTCTCACCAGAGTGGTTGGCTATGCAGAGAGGTGGGGAAGTGCCGGCCGGGCTACTTCCACAATTGGCACAATGTGACTGATTGTGGCTGTGTGCTATGTAGAGAACCATAAGGCGACCATCTGATTCTGAGGGGAGGGTCCGGCTTTCACAGGCACCTGTAGTGCCGATATTTAGTACTTCCACAATTGGCACAATGTGACTGATGGTGGCTGTGCGTGCTATGTAGAGAACCATAAGGGGACCATCTGATTCTGAGGGGAGGGTCCGGTTTTCACAGGCACCTGTAGTGCCGCTATTTAGACAGTGATGCCTCGTAAGATGAATTTAATTCATTCCGCGTTTAATGTTGTCTTGCGAAAAATTCATCTTGCGAAACGTGTTTTCCCATAGGAATGGATTGAAATCTAATTAATGTGTTCCTATGGGCAGAAAAAGTCAGAACAAAGTCAAATTTGGTTTACAAAGGGTTTATTAAGTGCTCTTTAAAGCCATACATATTGTGCAGATGATTTTAAAAATTTCAATAAAAAACTTAAACATCATAGAAAAACATTTAAAAATCAGCAAACATGAGGCAGGAACAAAAAATGGAAAACATTCATCTTGAGAAGCACGGCCATAGGAACATTTGTCTTGCAAGTCATCAACCCCATTGCCAAAACCATTTGTCTTGTGAGTTTTTTGTCCTGCGAGGCACCACTGTAGTTGTATTCTTTGAGATACGAATATGAATATCCCATTTCTAATCCTAGATCCAATCAAGCCTGAACTGCCTCTGGAGACAAAAATGTTAAAACTGAGGCTGTCCTACTTTAGGCGCATCATGAGAAGGGCAAGATTCTCTAAAAAAGATTATAATGCTGGGAAAGGTGGAAGGCAGCAGGAAAAGAGGAAGACCAAATAAGAGGTGGACTGACTCTGTAAAAGAGGCTTGAGTTTACAAGAGCTGAGCAGGGCACTTGAGGACAGGACATTTTGGAGATTGCTCATTCATAGGGTTGTCATGAGTCAGAGGTGACTTGATGGCTCATAATATCAATAGTTGTTCAGTCTACTGCAGCAAAACAACAAACAGCCTTATCGTACCTTATTTCAGTTGTCATAAGCTCTCACAAACTGTATGCTGTTTGACTCTGAAGAAGTGGAGAAGTCCACAAATGTTAATGTCAAATAAAACTTATTGTTAATGTCAAATGTTAATGTCAAATAAGACTTATTGTTGAGATTGAGCTCTCTGGGTCAATATGTAACATTATATTGTTGTAATTAAGGAAAAATGAAATGAAGATGTTGTATGAAAAGTGACTATTGATGTAAATTGCTAACAGAGAAAATGTGTATTTATGTTTAGGTTCCATCAGTCCTAATAAAAGAAGAACATAAATTACGCAATACCTGTCCAGATGCTTCCAAGCAAAGCATGGTAAGATTTTTTGCATAGTGTATAAGTTAGGTACATCTCAGCTGACTCTTGCGATAACTGCACTTTTAAGAATCAGTGCCTTAGTTTGCCTCTTTCATTTCCTTCTGTGTTGTGCCTTTTAAAGAAGCCCATGAGAGATTTTTGCCCAAACAATGGGATAAAATTAGTTAAAGCAAATCAAGTCAAACAACATTAAGGGAATGTGGTCAGATATTATACACTTAGCTTTCAGAAACAGGTCACTGGTTCTCTTTTCTGTTAAGAGGACTGATTTTCATCTCAGGGTAACTCCTTGTTTTAGTTTTGGAAAAGTACCTAACAAATACAGCAGGACTGAACAGAAGGAATATTCGGGTTTGTTAGCCAATCTCTCATTTACAGTAGATCAGCAAACATTTCTGACTTCCGGTTACCCAACAATAATAGATTAACTCTCCTCACAGAATTGTAATATTGAAATTAATAACGCTTGTTAATAAAGATGTACCTGTACTGAGGAATGTGCTTTTGTGTGAAAGGACTATGACCTCATTCACTTCTAGTGCTCAAATTCTTGTGCACAATATTATTTAATGTCTTTTACACCATGCTCTGGTTGGAGAAACTCAGCCTGAAAAGCAAAGCAGGCCCCACAAACCTGACGTCTGCTTGTCTTTGAGTAAAAAAAGCTTTCGTAAATGCAGTCAATAAATCTTGTAATGGAACCAGGGGAGAAAAACTGATTCAAAGACCTACTCTTTTGCAGAGCTTACTTCGTAGCTGCCTGTCAGCGTAAATTACCATGCACAACAATTTTGAGCATTAAGTGGTCTTCGGTGTTTCCCAGACTATGTCATATTTAAGAATATGCTTTAGGGAAAGTAATATTGGTAGTACTGTTAAACAAACAATTCCATTGCTAAAGTTATGTAGTTATCATTTTCTCTTGTGTTTTTCTGTTCAGGTTGGAGAACCCATTGGAGATAATACTAGTTCTGTTTTGGATTTTTTAAGTATGAAGCCATATTCAGATGTGTCGCTTGATATATCTATGTTAAGTTCATTAGGTAGGTGTTTTCATTAGCAGTTGAATATTGGATTTATTATTTAGTAATGTGTATATAATCTGGACCATGCAACTCAGTGATTCTCGAACGTTGGTTTTCACAAACCCTTTTAGCATTGCTGGGAGTCTCAGCAGAACCACCATTTTTCTAAAAGCTAAAGACTGTAGAATTAGTCATTTGCAATTAATTTTATTGCTTAGTCTTGGCATAATCATCAAAACCTTATTATGAAAATCACAAGCTATGGGGCAAGGCCTTGTTTACTAATCTAGGACTGCTGAAATAGCCTCGATCAACAATAGAAGAAAGTTGTTGTCTGTACACTTTGCTTTCTACTCCATCCATCTACTACAGCTTCTTGTTGGCCTCTGCAGAAACAGAATGCTGCAATAGATGAGTCTGATCCAGAATGACTCTCTCTCTGGTATTTCAATTTTCAGGTTCTAGATCTGATAAGTTACAGTTCTATAAATCTTAAAAACACTTAGTTTCTTTATATTGATATTTAGAGGTTTTCATAATATGTAGGCTTTATTTGTAATTTTGTTATCTAATTTAACCCATGTAGAATTTTGGACAGTCAATTAATAGTGAAATGCTAAGCATGCTTACACAGAAATGCAATACAGTATTAACATAATTAGATTTGTATCTAGATGAATACATAGATAGAATTCTGGTGGTAGTTCCTTTATTACTAGTTATACCAAATGTACACTTACAGCACTCCATAAGCAATATTTTATTTCCAAAGAAGTAACCATGTTTATCTCAGCATGTGGTGGTGGTGGGGACACACACAAAACATTGTAGCACTTTAAATACTAACAGGTTTATTTTAGTATTAGATTTTGTGGATCCAAATCTGTTTCTTCAGACACAGGGAGTACAAATACTGTAGATGTCCGTGATTGTGAGATTCATTTCCATCTGTAGAAGCCAATAACAAAGTGACAAAGGTTGCTAGTTTTTAAATTGCTACAATATTTTTAACTCTCCCTCTTTTCTTTTTCTACTGAGAATTGTTATGACTAAATGTTTGCATATGTTGATGTATTTAACTACAGCTGATCTCTGAGCAGATATCTGTTCTCATAGCAGGCCAGGAAAAATTGGTTTTGGTAGCTAGCATCTGGACTACTGGAAATGCGAAAGAGCAGCATGGTCCTTCTTTATTTGCTTCTTTGGGATATTGGCCATACTCTCATCCTGTGTTGTAATTCTTTGTTGTTGTTTTTCTAAGAAAAACTGAACTGAGGCTTTGGATTTAAGGCAGCGGCTGAGAAGAACTGGGCTTCTCCTTCCTGCTTTCCTGCTTGGCTCCTCTCGCTTTCTGGCTGTCTGAGAAGCCCTCACCACTGTGGAAGCAAAACGAGGAGGAAGGGGAGCCAAAAAGGCGGGCTTTGCCGGGAAGGGGGAAAACACAGCGAGCGAGCGCGCCTGCTCGGCTTTCAGGCGATGCTCCTCGCTATGCTGCCTTGGTCGCCTCCTCCCCTCCGCCTTGAAGCTTTTGTTCTCCTCCTCTCTGGTCCGGGAGCAGGAGCGCCTGCACGGCGCCCGCAGGGCTCGTGCCTCTCTCTCCCTCGCGCGCCGGGCAGGGGAGTTCCAGGCGGAGGAGGAGCTTGCGCGGCTGTTGGCTCCCGGGATCCCGTTCGGCGCGCCCTGAGACGAAAGCACTGCCATGAAGGGCGAAGCTCTGCTTTCTCCCTACTGCATTCTGCTCTGCTGAAGGGATGTTTTTTCGCGCCCTCGGTAAGCTTACCCAGGGCGCGAGTAGGGCAACAGGGCTTATTTTCGGGGGAGGGCTTATTTTAGAGGAATCATATAAAGTAAGGGGAGGGCTTACTTTCGGGATAGGTCTTATTATCGGAGAAACACGGTATTAGATTTTGTGGATCCAAATCTGTTTCTTCAGACACAGGGAGTACAAATACTGTAGATGTCCGTGATGGTGAGATTCATTTCCATCTGTAGAAGCCAATAACAAAGTGACAAAGGTTGCTAGTTTTTAAATTGCTACAATATTTTTAACTCTCCCTCTTTTCTTTTTCTACTGAGAATTGTTATGACTAAATGTTTGCATATGTTGATGTATTTAACTACAGCTGATCTCTGAGCAGATATCTGTTCTCATAGCAGGCCAGGAAAAATTGGTTTTGGTAGCTAGCATCTGGACTACTGGAAATGCGAAAGAGCAGCATGGTCCTTCTTTATTTGCTTCTTTGGGATATTGGCCATACTCTCATCCTGTGTTGTAATTCTTTGTTGTTGTTTTTCTAAGAAAAACTGAACTGAGGCTTTGGATTTGGGTGTAGTAAAGATAAACCTTCATTTTTTCCAAACCATACCTGGTGAAATTTCTCCCCGGTTAAGTTGCTGAATTAAATTAGATAAAATATACAGTTGTGTGTTTATATGTTTTCTATGGGACAAGGGGGGGGATCATGAAAAGGAAAGTTTGTAAGATCTTCCCTAGAACCATGGTTTAGATTTTGGCCACTCACCCACCAGTACCTCTGTGGCTGATTTTAGTTACAATAAATATGGAGAGGCAAGATGTTTAGTCACAAATCTCCACTGTCCTTTCCAGTTTGAAAATTAGTTTGCAGAATTTTACTTTGCATGTAAATATATTTTGGAGCATCTCCAATCTTCGTGTATAAAGATCATTTGTAGCTTCTTTCATCTACGGGAACACAGTTTCTTACTGAAAAGAAGATGAAAATAAAAAACTTAGTGTATTTTTACTGTAAACCAAAATTAATCGAGTGGGGGTAGGGGTTACAAAAGCCCTTCCAGTGTTAAGTTTTTTTCCCATCCAATTATCTAGCTTGAATTGAATGCTTGCTGTTGTTCTCAGGTAAAGTGAAGAAGGAACTTGACCATGATGACAATCACTTACACTTGGATGAAACTACAAAATTACTCCAAGATCTTCATGAGGCACAAACTGACAGAGTAGGATCCAGGCCTTCCTCCAACCTTAGTTCCCTCTCTAATGCTTCTGAAAGGGACCAGCATCATCTGGGTAAATCAGGCTGAGCTATTTTAACACGTTTTCAGTTCCGTTTTATATCGTGAGATTCTTGAGATATGCTGGTGTTATCAGCAACATCAGCACCAACAGTTTTACTTCTTGACTAGCATTTATTTGACCACTCTTCCTTTTTACAACTGTCACAAGATATGGGAAAAGTTACCTTTTCGGACTGTAGCATCTGAAATCCCACAGCCATCTTGGCAGCCTTTCACACCTTTGTATACTTCAGTGTATTACTTTAACTATATTGCCCTTTTCATGTAGTCCAAAAGTCCTTAGTACATAATGGTACATACATCAAATTCACTTCAGGATGATGAAATACTTTTACTTAAAATGTTTAATCCTTAAGGCAGTTAACAATTCAGTCACCAACAAAACTGCAGAATGTAAAATTAATAAAATACAGGAAGGCTTAAACAAAATTATTTTTTGCATAAAACAGCTTAAAAGTAAATTTGCACAAGTTAACTTCACGTGTTGTGTTTGGTCCCTGATAGTCCCATAAGTGCAATACAAGCTGAGTGCTATAGCTCTGGTGGGGGTTAGAAATGAGCAGCTTCTTTCAATAATATTGGAGGCTCCACTAAGGCTTTCTATTCCTCTTTAACCAGATTACCTCTCTCAAGGTCCATCCCTTCCCATAAAGTATGAAAACGTGAAGGCCTAGACCCTTGGAGTCTAGTACTCCTCCATATCCCCCAAGAGCTGTCTGGCTTAGCACACCATTGGCCAAAGCACACAGATTCCACAAATTAGGATGTTGGAAAGAGATGCACTATTCCAGTGCTGGAGTTAGGCTCAGAAAGTTGGGTATTTTGTATGCAGTCAATTCCTCTCTTTACGCTTTATGTGAATAAGTAAGCAAACCAGATGGCAACAGTGTGGCATGACTTTCAGTTTCAGGGCTTCACATGTTCTAATCAAAACAAGCCAGAGTTATTAAACTGGTGAGTACCGGTTTAAAAGTAGCTTATGACTGCCTTATTTGGGTAGAATAAACCATCATTTTGGATTTGGATGTCACAATAAGGCTAAAGTGTTTGCACAAAAGAGAAGCAAAGCAAAAATAAACCAGATGTTTGCACTATAGTTTAATAAGCAGGACTTTCTTGCTTATTGTTCTGTGAGAAATCAGCTAGTGGCTTTGGTGATTTGTTTGTTTCTTCCTGAACATAAATTTGACCAAACGTTGACATTTCTGAAATAACAGTAGGAGAACATTGATATTAACTAAAATGCTGAGAGTATGAAGTTTTTTACTATTTGTCCCAAATAACATTTCTGATTTCTTTTTTTCTTCCCCCACCTTGTTTTATACAGGAAGCCCTTCTCATCTAAGTGTGGAACAACAAGAAATGGTCCATGACCCCTATGAATTTCTTCAGTCTCCAGAACCTCCAAATGCCAATAGCTAATTTCATTTAGACAGTATTTAATTTGTTTTTTAAGTATGTAACATTTTACAGAGTTCCATGAGGTAGTAAGCATTTCAATTCATCCTCATTTTTTGTATGAGGATGGTCATGTAATTATGCTTGTGGATATATTTGTAAATGTTATATGGGTGGTAAGTGTATCATGATATTTGTACCATCTCATACCATAATTTAGGGATATGTACCATAGATACGGAGAAGTGGGTGCAAATTATGTACTAATATTTAAGAGACCATATTTATTAAACACTGCAAACCAGCTGTTTATCATGCTGCCAGTCTTTAGAAATTTTGTACTTTTTATGCAACTGTAGCCACACAGGAATTTCTCTAGTTTGAATATTCCCAGTGGTTATACAGTTTTCACAACTATTGTTATATTCATGTAAACTTTTCCTCAGTTCATGTGAGGATGATTAGATGAAATTGACACTCTGGATCCTCTTAATTTTAGGTGGGGGAAAAAGTCATGGTGCTACGGAGGGACATCATCGCAAAATTAATGTGTTTATTTAAATGTTTTGTGAATACAAGTGAAGTTGTATGTGCAGAAATAGTAAAAAAATTGTTATTTTTAAATTAGGTATGTGAAATTTGACATGGAATTATTTTTAAGCAATTGTTATTACATGTAAAGTAGAATAAGTAGTTGTTCATTAACAGTGCTGTAAATATTAATAATACTCAAATATATTCATATTCTGTTTTTTCCAGAATGCAATATGTTTGTCAGTTCTGTGAATAGTTCTAATTGAGATAGAAAAGTATTCTGTGATAACCTGCATTGTATTGTCTTTCTGAACTGTTAAGCACAATTGACAGCACAGTTAGTTAACTAAGCTAATGCTATTCAAAATTGTTTCCAAGAATTTCCAAATACTAGCAAAGAGCAGCAGCACAATGTTTGCAGTTCAACTGGGATAAGGAAAGGGCATGATACTCATCTGGCCATCTTTACTACCAACTTGACAGCATGTAACACATAATTGTTAATACCACACACTTTTCTGTGAAGTGAGGGGGGCAGATTGAGGAGAACTCAGTGAGATGATGTCTCAAGATGGGGAAGGATTGAGACTAATAGAAGCACTGTGGCCAAAAGAAAAGGACTAGGCATTGTAGCTGAAGAAAAGGATGGATGTTGGGAAAGGCACCCATCCTTTTTATGGAGCACAAGAAATGCTAAGACAGAAGAAAAACATCATAAGGAATAGTGTTAAATTATGCCATGCAGTACAAAACTAATTGAAAGGCAAATTTCACATTGATTTGAATGTATTTCCCATGACTCAAATACTACAGTATTATTGAAGAGTAGCATTAATAAATCACCTTAAAAATGGGGAATATATGCCCCCCTTCCCACTGCAGCTTCTCCATTATCCCTCACATTGCAATCCAGCAAGGGCCCTAGGAAATGGTCTTAGTGACTAAAGAAACTCTGAGAGCCTACCTAGAAGATGCATCCCCTTCTAAATCATAATTAAAGCTAACCCATTTGCTTTACAGAGGTTGGGATGCTAGAACTGCCCATCCTCCCAAGTGTGTTTTATTGCTGTTAAGCGTATGATAGTGCAAACTGCTTCTCAGTCTAACTCACTTCAGGTCTTGAGAAGACACTTTTACCCTGAGTTGCCTATGTTTTCAGACTCGTTTAACTGCTAAAGCCTAATGTAATTTGGGACTGCAATATCAATTCTGCTGTAAATCTACCCATACCCTCATATGAACATTTGATGTCCAGTAGGGAGGGGAGTAACGTTGGAAAGGACCTTTTTGTTGATAATTGTCAAGCTTGAACTGCACTTCCCAGTGAGAACCACCTGCCATTGATACCAGGCCAATAATTCCACTTATGCCCAAGCATTTTAATGCATCAGCTGTGTTGTATTTTATTGTCTATCATGTGACTGATGTTTTCAGTATCTTACATTATAATGATGTATAATTCAGTTGTTTAAATTTTCTATTTTTCACCACTGCTGGAAGTCATCTTGAGTCTTTTTGAAAAAGGAGTTACAAGAAATCTTGCTGCTGATGGGAATGAGGGCGATGAAGAAGATGCCAAAATTCTTGATTAGCCGAAGATTGGAGAATAGAGCAAATGGTTAATCCTTCTAATTTTGAGAGTTTAGGGCCAAAGTCTCATCATGAAAGGAGGGACTCCCTAACCATTGGTCATGCCTTCCATGGAAAAGCAGGATTTTTTCTGTTGCTCTGAAGCAATCATTTTGGAGTGATGACCTACTAGGCCTTGAGCCTCAAGCAAAAGATATGGGAAGAGTAGCTGCTTTTTATCAAGCAGCACTCGACCTCTTTTCATGTGAATAAAGTTATGGGGAAAACAGATTTTTTTTGGTCACAAAAATCTTCTGGTATACAATAGCCCAAGAAAAGTTCTCCAAATAACAACTTTCCTTGTCAGTTGGTTGCCATAGCAACCCCTCTAGTTTTTACAAGCAGTGACATTCCAAAAGGGGGCAGAAGCAGCAGCTGCAGATCAGATGGAGATTATCCAATCACAGCTTCACAATTCCAGATCCACACAGGGAGAGGAAAGATAGGCTGGATGGTCTTGGTATGTGGGAATTGTATTATAATTATAACTCAGGAAATCATTCTTAATTTAGAGACTTTTTGAGATGAGTGATTGTCTTTTGTGCTCTCCCCTCCACCCACTCTACATGCAGTTAATATCTGGTACAAATTATTGACTGAAATTGCATCTAGATTAGGCCCACCGAATCAGTGGAATTTATGGAGGCATTGGCTCCTCATAGGTTCAACAGGCCTACTCTAGTTGTGATTTAGTATTAGATTTCAGCCATTGTATTTACATTCTGCATTCCCAGGATCTCAGAACATAATTATTCCATTTTTATCTATCATATTCTTTGAAGTCCAGTGCTAGAGTGTATATTCAAATTTAAAAGGCATTATTGATTCTGTTGACCAAGGTGTTACAAAGGCTTGCTCATTAGTTGTCTGCTCATAATCAAGACATATAATGACCACCTACTTCTCAATGTCGTCTTCCTTTTCCACTCCTAACTTTCCAAGGGAACAGAGGTAGGAGATACATAATATTTGTAGTTTGATTCCCAGTGTGATCACTTGGTGCAATATAATCCACATATAATTTTAACTGTATTAAGGTGAATGATTGCAGTCAGCGCCTTCGGAGTGGAACACACCAATACTGTAAAATTAAAAGATTAAAGTAATAGTCATGGTTTAATATTTGTATAATACAATGGACAAAATTATTTAAAAGTTATAAATTGGGTTCAGCACGGGAAACAATTAAAATAAATAATTGAAAGCTTTGTGCCCCCCTCTTCAGGTTCTGAAGTTCCCTAGGAATCTTTCACCTCAGAATGCAGGGGGGGGGGTGGTCTCCTGCCTTCTAGTGGTAAATGTCTTTTTCTGTTAATTTTGTCTTCACATAATGTATTCAAAATACAATAGCCTTGGTTTGATCAATTGTAGCTTCCAGTGAGAGTTCGGGCTTGACTTGACATAAAACCAGTTTGTCTTTCTAGTGATCCAAGATATCTGTAAAGCTCTCCTCCAACACCACATTTCAAATAAATCTTATTTTCTCTTCTCCAATATTGACATGTATACATAATAATGGAATACCATAGCATGGATGATCAAGCCTTGGTCTTAAGCGGCACATCCTTACAATTCTAGTCTCTTCATATATAACAGCAGAATAGAGATATTGGGATTTTTATACCTGAGTTCAAATCAGAATTGAAGATGGAAGCTTTGTTCAGGCATTCAGCTCCCAGCATTTGAGTTTCAAACACTGCAGGCTAAACATCTGAATAGAGCTGAATAGACCTATTCAGGCATTCAAAACAGGTTTAACTGAAAGTGTATGGTATAAAACACCTGACTGGGCACCACAGAACTGTAGATGGCACAGAAGAAACTAAAAGCTCAAAAATCATTGCCAGATTTTTGGAACTTCTATGTTTTTTCTGCACCATCCACAGCTCCATTGTTCACAGCTTCTAGCTGTGATTTTTTTTTTTTAGTGAATGAATAAAGGTATCAGTCATCCTTGACTTCAGATTGAGTATAAGGACTACTCTTGGTTTTTCTTTTTGAGTGTGAACACACATATGTGTGAACATCCCTACGAAGTAATGGAGTTAACCATCTCTCCCTTTACAAGACCTTTGTGAAACTTAACACCTGTCGTGTGATATTTAATATGCTATTAATGTTTAATATCCACTTAAAGAAAAAATCGTAATGTCATAGATTCTTGCAGCCCAATCCATAACATGAAAGCTAAGCCTGAAATGACTCTCTTTGCTCTTGGGTAACTGACCATATTTTTAAGAGGGCTTGCACTGCCAGATTTATGGATAATCCATGCTACCACACTTACTGTCTTGATTGGGCTGGGTGTCAGCTTTCCTACTGCACACTTGATTTTTACTTTATATGCAGCTATCAGTTGACTTTTTTATTCTCAGGGTCAGTAGATCTGCTAAAAAAAATGGTTCCGTAGCACCTGGACAAACCAACCTTCCCTAAATTTATGCAATCCAGATAAGGTTATACTATGGGCACCATAATCTCCATCCAACAAGGGAAATTACCTTGTTGCCTGGATTATAGGTGTTGTAATCCTAGCTACCCAGCCATGCTTAGAAACACTAGTATAGGCAACACTGAGCTGGATGAGCCACTGGTCTCTGTCCATTAGCTACCTACTGGTCTTTCTGTTAAACTAAAATCAAAATATTAAAACTGCTAAGCATTTTAAGGGACCAAGCTATAACAGGTATTCTAGGCTATCGTGGGTGTCAGATTTTGAGAAGAATATAGTGTGAGCCTAATTGTTTAACAACAGAGTAGACATGTTCTAGATGGGCAGTATATAAATCTAATAAATAAATAAACAGCGAGCATTTTAGCTTCTCAATATCTCCATATAAAACTGATGTGAAAGAAACAGAAATGGAAGGAGGTGCTAGCAGCTTCTGGTATAACTAGACTTTTCTCTGTAAAATTTAATTCCAGAAATGTTGCACAACAAGATGAAACAACTTCCTATTGCCTTCAGTTCAGAGAAGTACAAAGAACTCAAGCAAAGCACCCTTAATGAAATACATTTTGGTGTGTTTGTTTTGTTTATGTGTATGTGGTTTTGGAGAATAGGATTCTTTTTTGTATTGCATAAGGCCAATCTCCTACATTGGTCTTGTCTGCTTGAGTGCTTTAAATGAATATATTTTGTCATAATCTTATCAAACCAAGCTGCTTTAGGGAGGTGAAGAAAACACAGTCTACTTCCTCCAAGACCCAGGAGAAACATCGCTTTACATAGAAGTGTGGTGGAAACTGTTTCCATAGCTGCAAGGAAGTCACTTGGTTATAAGGAAACTTCCTCTGCCCCCAAACGTTGATAACATCTGTGTTGACATAGGCCATGTCAGTAATGTGTGTCTTTGGTAATACTGCAGTAAAAAGAAAAGAAAAAAGATCTGTCCTCTGAGACTCTGGAGATTTTCAAACTCATGAGGGAAAGATCCTACTGGAGTTCTGAATTCTACCCACATCTCTCTTTCTCTGGTCCATTTAATAAAAGAAGAGGCAGAGGGAGTGGGTTGAATGGAAGAACATGTTGAACATCACAAAGGTGAGTAAGAAATGAGAAATTTTAGTGGGAAAGGTGGCTTTTCACTTAAACTTTGTATTTACACTTATCCAACATAATTTTTCTGACATACATGATATAGATTTGTGAGTTGGTCACCTATTTTTAGCCTGTTAAATGTCAAGGAAAAACTTACCAGTGTTCTGCTTTCTGAGATTCTTTTTTAATCAGGTGGACATATATATTTAAAATGTAAGGAATTCCAGCATCTTTGCCTATGAATCATTTTCATATCCAGTTAATATGATTTACAAGCAATCAACTATTAAATGGATTGTATCTCCTACCCACATCCCCAAATGAAGACACAAAATTGTATCTAGGTATAAGAGTCACAACATTATTCACTCAGGGTCACAATACATGAGAATACTGAACTCATAATTAGAAGATAAGAGCATGTTTTTCCTCTAGCAATGTGATTCCCTCAGAGTTCATGACTGAGCAATTGGACTTGCAAACAAAGGTCATGTTTACTTCTCAGTGACCAATTGCCAGACAAGTAACATAAGATTTGGAAAATGTGGAGGTAACAAAAGTCAGGTTAGGGCAATCAACAATCTTTGATCACTTCAGGGAGCATTTCTTTTAATTGTGGCATCAGTAGTTTGACCCATTTGATATTGTGTTAATGTTACTGGTTTACTGTATCATCATCATTATCCTTATCATGATTGCTTCTGCCAATCAGGCACCATTCCTCATCCTATTGGGTGGTGGTGCACCAGGTTAAAACAGTGCTAGGCTTCCTAAAAGCTGGTTTAAGTTTAATTCTTATGCTCGCAGACTAGCCACATGTGGGCCTGCAAGGCAGGCAGCAGTAGTGAAAGCAGGCAGTTTGATGTGGAAATTAGTGTTACAGGCAAATATACTACAGGCTTGGAATCTGGGTTGGTCCTCTTATTAGGAAGAGTGAGTGATTGCTCAAGCTGAGTGAAGGATACTTGTCACTTTTGCTTGGACTGATACCACTATCAGCTTAGACCTCTATTCTCGTAATTACAGAGCTTCTTCCTCTCCCCTCCTCTCTTATTAGGTTATCTTGTGATGCTCAACATTGCTGGTTATGCTTCTTTCCTATAATGATGGAATTTCATTTTGTTCTTTGGAGGATGTTATATTTGAGTCACTAGACCAATTCTCCTCTCCTTAGTTAAAAGCAGTACATCAGAAGTTCACATTTATAGGTTTCGTCCCTCAGTCCTTCTTACAACAGGATTAGACAACACAACTGCACTTGTCAAACAGAGGGTGTTTGACACAGGCACAGCGACATCGGCAGAGCCCCCAATTTTCTTGCAGCAGATAATTCCAGATATATTGCAGCTCTGGCTGCCTACCTCTTCCTTCTGGAGCTGCTGACCCACTGCAGGGCATTCTCACTAGCTGGATGGCATATTATTCCCTTAAAGGTTACAGTGGACCCTCTCCTTACGGAATTAATCTGTATTGGAATGGTGGCTGCAGGTCAAAAAGTCTCAATTGAAAACAGATTAATCTGTAACCGGCCGTTTTTGTTCCATTTTTGTTCCATTTTTGTTTTTTTCTGGTCTGTAAGGCGATTCTCCGGCTGCAAGTCGAATCTAAATTTTGCAGCCAGAGAAGTCTGTAACTCGAAAAGTCTGTAAGTCGAGGTGTCTGTAAGTCGAGGGTCCACTGTACCATTGAGATGTATGGTAGAATCAATCACACATGTAATGTTACACTGCTGGTTCTATTGTGAACCACATAATAAGCATATTCTTCCTTTGCTTAACTGGTTTTGGGGCTGTCTTGAAACAGAGATCTCACACAAACTAATTGTATGTCTTAATCCCCAGATTACACTTACCTGTGCAATATTTCTCACAGCTGCATGCAAGATATATAAAGATTTAATGGATAATTATTTTAAGCTT